TTGGATATAGAATTATAGAGAAACCATTTCAAACAGCATATTTACCACTTAATTCCTATATGATTAAAGATATAAATCTGGAAATCAAAGATGATAAAAATAGGTTTATAGATTTTGGTAACGAGGAAATTGTAATTCCACTTCATTTAAACCAAAAGAACTAAATTTATTCTGATGGATCATCATTGGATACATTTGTAAATAATTAAAATCATCAAATACATAATCGTCATCCAAGCACATCTCCCTCCTAGAGTTGTACGAATACATTATTCCTTCATCATCTGGTACTTTTCTCTTCACTAAATTCAAATAACTTCTTAATTTTTTTAGTTTGTTTTTCATTAGGAATAACTATTCCATCAGTAAAACTCTTTCCCCATGGTTTATCAAATTCATTCGTCACATCATATCCGCTAGCTAATTGAACATAATCGTCCACCTTAATCTTATAGTTAGAGTATCCCTTAAACGTTTTCTTTTCTTTTAAAACACCATCAGAAGTCAAAATGATATTATATTTAACTGTTGATGCTAAATACATACCAAAAATAATTCCACCATCTCCATAGTCATTCTTTCCTTTGCAATATTCAGTTTCAGATACCAATCCAATTTTATTTAATTTATCCTAATTTTTAGAAGAAATGTATAAACTATCAGTATCTGTATGGTATATTTCCGATTTATAAAATCCATCTATTACATGAATAAAATTGTTCATTATTCTTTTACTGTGAGATAATATAAACGCACCTAAATGAGTGGGTGTTAATCTTGTAGAATCCTTTGGAGGAACAAACTCTTTTTCTTCGTCATTAATCTCAACAATGTATTGAGTATCATTTAGTTTGTCATACTAATTGACGTGATTGTCGATATTAAGGCGGAAGGTTTCTTCATTCCATAATGCAATGAGTTATTTCTATCCCTCTGAATAGATTTACCGTATAAGGAATTACCTAACAACTTCACGCAGTTACTAGCAACCACATCCCCTTCCTTTTTGTATTTATTCCTTAATTCCTTCAAAATTAAAATGTAATCTCTATATGGTGGAGTTTTAAAATTTTCTTCATAGACTGTTCCATCTAATATCGTGAGTATTTTACCACCGGCTTTAACTACTTCTTGAATGTCAACCGATGTTAAAACGTCCGAACAGAAGCCATTTCTAAACCCGATTTTAGTGCCAGTTTCCTTCTTACCTATTCTGTTCGTAAAAGTTATTTTATCTTTAGCAAGTATTGGTTGAAAGAACATGTTAGTAGGATATTCAAAACAGACTTTTAAAATAGCTGTTCTAGGTCTGAATTTCTCTTCATTAAATAGCTTAACAAATTCTTTTTCTTTCTCAGGTAAAAATGCTCTAGCACTTTCAGCT